ACATGTTTATCGCTCATAAAGCCGCTTATCACCGATATGCATGCTTAATCGAAGTAACAAGTAAAATGAAACAACAGCCACAGCGGTCGTTCTTCATGCCTCCTCCAGCGGCTTGACTCGACTACCATAAAGGGCATACTGTATATGCATTCCGTCACTTCGGTAGCCAACAGGCCGGCCGCCACCGTCGTGAATCTGATCAATCGTCCGTCCTCGGAACCGATCTTATTTTGCTGTCGAGATAAACGAAGATGACAAAAGCGATGGCAGTACCAAGCAAACGTGCGCCGCACTGAACGGCACGGCCACTCCATGCCGAAACCTTCTCCAGCCACCATACCGTAAGCTAAAGTAAACCATGGAGATGCATGAAACCACAGTCATCGAGCATAAACGTGACACGTCGCTGGCTGCGACATAAAATTTTTTCTCTCTACTGAATTACTAAATTAATTTCGTTCGAACTCATTATGACTTGGTTTAGTCACGCTGTAAAATCCGCTTGCGTAATCACCTCTAATAACGAACGTTCATCTAGTTGTACAAGTATGTACCAAACAGTTCTTGCTTTACCCAAAAAGAATTAGAAATAGCCGTTGATTAAACAACACAGGCTCTTTCATCGATTTGACCGTGATCATCGGCAGCCATGTATATGTCTTCTAATATCTGTTATTCCTCCACGACATCCTCTCAAGGGTGCAGCATTTGAGAGACAGCGGCTTGCTGAATTTTTTGCAAGAGCAACAACATCCCTTGACCAAAACGATGTAGCACTGAGTTCCAAAAAGTAGCCAATGCACGTAGGACGATTCGCTGGTGGATGACATGATGAATTCTTGAAATTTGCTGAAATAATATGAATTAGAGTTGTTGAGGACAAACCTTGCAGAAATCTTCATCAGCGAGGTGTTGGAAAACACTTGTGACAATGATGATTTTCTCTAGAACGACGATACAAGAAAAGTATAGAAATTATTAGGCAGAAAAATATATAATAGATTGCTAAATTGCTACTTAAAAGTAGATGTGTAGTGCAGAAGTCTCAGAACATATATCGATTTTTGAAAGCATCTACCATCTCTTCATTACTGAATTAGAAATGTCTGCGTTAAAGCGAACTGTTTAATTCCTTTTCTTGTATTCACCTTACTGAACACTGCTCCACACAAATAGCTATAACGTCTTTGGTTTAAATAACCATACATTTTTCTTTGCCACTCATCTCATCTTTGGTGGCCGCTTGCATATTTTTGCATATTGCATATTCCATATTTTTCACGTTCTAGACGCAACCAACCCCAAAATAACGTTCCCAATCCTGCGCCAGCAGATCAGCCTCCACCGAATAAATCCAGACCTGGGAGCAAGGCTCCCTCAACGCACTAACTCAAAGTCATTTCTGGCCATTCCTGGAGTCAGAGCTGGTCTGCTAAGAACGTAGTAGTTGCTGAACGTTTTTTTCAGGAATCATTAGCAAGACTTGCCCAAACGATCATAACGGAAAATTTCTCAACTGGGAGAAGAACCGACCGTACACCAAGAGTTTCTCAGATATCTCAAGCCAGCATTCTGCCGAGACACGAGAATTACGTAGTTCGTCTCAGATAGCGTATTTCATTCGCTGATACCCAGAATAGAAGAATTCCAGTCATAGCAGACCATTCCTACACCATTCCCTGCCATAGAAATAAGTATTAATAGGAACACAGACCAGAAGCTAGTTAATTAGGTACAAGGTACCACCTACACATAGGGAGAATGTCATCAATGAAGCGCTACAGTAGTGCTGGTATGCTGGCAGAACGGAAACACTTCAAAGAGTCATTGGGGGAAGCCTGTCGGCGGAAAAGTGGCGATCGTCCAGCTGAAGTTACAATTCGCTAAAGCTTCGACCTTCTTACGGGTTCATGTACCAATTCAGCCGGAGAGTATGAGTCCTTCCAAATCGAAATAGCAGGTGCTATCTCCAAACTTCGACAGGTAATTTTAACGCCCATTCTGAGTTGAAACACAAGAGTGGAAAGTCATGATTGGAAAGAACGGCCAAAACGATTTCAACAATAGCGGCATTAGGTGTTAAGTTTTGTGCAAGCAACATGCTGTCTGTTATAAGTACTTTCTTCGAGCATCGAAGCCTGCATCAGTATACCTGGTAGAGAGAAACTTGTCCATGGAAGTCGAAAATCGATTTGATAGTTGTATCGTCAGACTTATGACGCTCTGTAATGGATGTTCGCGTTAAGAGAGGCTCAGAGCTATCAATCAATCACTGCTTTGCTGTTGACACCCTTTGTTACAAACGGTGGGGCAGAAGTGACAAGATATGTTCGCTTCTGTGGATATGATGGAGTAACTTACGAACAATATCGCACCATGCTTTCAACAGACATCAGTGATGACGACTGACGTGGAAATCGAATGGAAGCTCCTTAACAGCAGCCTGCTCGACTGCTGCTTAAGACTGATGTTCCAGATGACTGGAGGTCAAACACCAACTTCTTGGAGGACAGGAGAGGTTCAGTTGGCTGCGTTCGAGAAGGCTGCATTCAAGAAGTGAGTTTGAAGTCAAGAACCTCTACTAGAATGCGGTACGAAGAAGCGCGCAAGTCAGCAGGGAAAGCATGGCCAAAGCACATGTTGCTTTGGGAAAAGCTTGGTGAGATGCGACAACAAAATTTTTAGACAGCTTGCAAAGCGTTCTGGCAGACCATCCGCCATCTCTGTGGTGGAAGGCAGAGCAATCTAAGTGTCATACAGGACATG